AAAAAAAAAAAAAAAGGCACCATTTATCTGCATTTGTTTTCAATTATCGAAAAAGAAATATGGCAAATCTCATTTGTTTTCAATTCCTAAAAATAAAATATATCATCCGTCTTGTAATCGCCTCCAATTTCTAAAAAAGAAATTGCACTTCTCTCATATTTGCGTCTTCTAAAAAGAACATCATTCTTTTCTTTTCTGTTTTTTTTAATTTACAAAACAACATTTTATCTTTCATTTACATGGAGAGATTTGTAAAGGAAAAACACTACACTTTGCCTTCATTTACACAATATGATTTATAAGAGAAATAGAAAGTATCAACAGGAAAAAAAAGAGAAATGAAAATTGATGAAGGGATCATAAGGGAATGAAGTGGCGTCTTTCATGTGTTTGTTTTCCTCTAACCAAGCTATGATAATTTTGACCTTTGCTTTGTCATTCTACAAAAGGCCAAGTCAAAGAGAAAAATATTATACCATAATGTTGTCTAATCTAAAAGATTTTAAGAAAACAATAAATGTTAAAAACCAAACTCCCAATTATTATTATTATTATTTTTATACTTTATAAATTAAAAAAAAAATGAGAGAAAAACGGAAGAAAAGAAAAAGAAAAGAAAGAAGGCAGTAGTCTAATGCCCAAACTGGCAACTCCAACTCACTACTCATAGCAAAACACAACTCAACCAAATTGACAGAGCTAAAATAGGAAATCCAACCCAATGTTCCGAAAAATACCAAGTTTAGACGAAAAAATTAGTTGAACTCAGTCTCAAGCCTATTCAACCAACCACTTTGCCTCCATAAACTCAATAAGAGACAAATTTTAGAGTTTGCATTCTGAAAAGAGAGTGAAGGAGAGAGAAAATAGGTTGCAAGCATGAAGTTCATAATGACAAAAAAAGAGAAGCATGCCTATGCACAAAGGAATAAAAGAAAACAAAGGGAAATGGCTCACCCGCGACTGAGGGGTATTGGAATTTAATGGGGTATGGCAAGGAAGATAAAAGCAATGGAACAAGTGTCGAATCAAAATTATAGATAATGAAACAATGAAATTAGACTGGATATTGCATACTATGAAGGTTGATGGGTAAGAAGCCGCGATGAGGAAGACTTTGAGCACTTGAAATGGCTATAAACTACTGAAAAAAAAAAAAACAAAGGAGAAAAATAGGGCAATTGAAGACATTGGTATTGAGAAAAATTTTAGGATCCTAAAATGATTTTGAAGAATAAAATATAGGTTTGATATCCTAATGAGTCTTCAATTTTTTATTTTTGTTCCTACCAATATCACAAGCTTGCACTTAAGGATCTTAGTAAATTATATGCAAATTGGCTAAATTATTTGTTCTAACCTATACTTCCTTTACTTCTATCATTTTGAACCTAAATTTTTATATTGAAGAGCAAATAATGTCATTGGCAACTCCTTTTTAAATACTTTTAAGCTTGAAATTTCCCAAGTTACCATTATTACACCTCATTTCTCCCTAAACTTTGAAATGTAGAGAAATGTCATTGCTTACAAAAGCAAACCTTCCTCAGCAGATGGTATGAGTAATTATTTATATATTATTTATAAGTATTTAAAATTTTAAAAACTTAGAAATCACTATTTAATTTAAAGAATACTAAGATACCATATATTAACTTAATGCACGCTTTGCACACAGAATGCTACTGCCATAAAATGGGAACATCGCAATAATGAACTGGAGATCTTAAGCCCCCGTATCAATGTATACACATAATAGAAGTTGAAGAATGTAACACGGGAAGACCAGAAGTAGCAAAGTCGTTTTTCCTAACGGTTCGTATAAATCAATCCTAGTTCAACATTAACACCCACCAAAGTCATTGCCATCTCGATAATTCACTGTATTCCAAACAAATCAAATCCCAAGCAAATACCAAACAATAATTTCACCACAACTATGATCAATGTACAAATGGTGCTACTTAAGCTAACTAAGAAAGAGACTAACAGTTATTATGAATATATATTCAGATATCTCTTGCATCGGCAAGTTCTAATAAGATTACAATTTCCACTTTATATCAGAAGCATAGGACACCAAACATAACCCCCATCTTAACATACATGTCAGACGTTCAAGAAGGTAAAACAGGCAAGACCACAATCAAACTAGAAGCAGCCATCTCATCTGTACTAGAGATTTGTATCAATGTAAGTCCGAAAGTAACACCCATTGTAAGGCCAGAACAGATGAGATACATACCATTTTAAAAAAAGCAGTCTCTTGCCGCTAACATTTAGAAAACACCAATTGTAATACCAATGCCCCACAGTAGTGACATAATTAAAAAACTACAACAAAAACTATCCACTGCTACCTCTAGAATTCACTGTATCCATACAAAACAAATACCAATCAAATACCAAATAATAAATCGACCACATCTAGAATCAATGCACAAACAGGGCTGCTTAAGCTCAATAACAAAGAGATAAAAAAACCATTATGAATATATCTTAGAAGATCTGTTGTCACTGCTAGTACTCCCTTATTAAAAATAATAAATCCATCTCATCGAGAAGAAGAAACACATCTAGTCTCATTAAAGCACAAGGAACCAACGGATCAACAAACAACAATGGCATCATCCATGTGGCCCAAAATTAAAGTATCTACTTAGTAAGTGAAACTAAAAATCAATGGAGCATGAAAACATAATGAAAATCCTTCAAAACTTTCCCATGGAAAAAACTGTCTCAAGCACATAGAATTCAATTTAAAACTACAAATTATGCCCATTATGAACCTCTGACCACTTAACTTGATGCTGCAGCTGCTTTCCTTGGTGTCGCTTGAGCGCCTGATGTTCAACCAAGGTATAATCAATTGCAATCCATAGCTTAAAGCATGACCAACTGAACTACAAGCAGGAACAATAAAATCAAAGAAAGAAACTCAGTTCAATACCTTCTCTGAAGCCACTCTTAAACCTGCGAGGAAGATGTCGGAGATACCTCATTCTACCAGTTCCAGTAGTCTTCCTTCGGATTGCCTTGACACTCCAGTTATCTGCAACCAACAACAAAGCATGTCCTTGGATCAATTTATAGATACAAACATGAATATAATTTCATGAAGTTGACAACACAGTATACACGTTGCTTCCCAAAACGATACGATTCAATCTTTTCTTCATACAACTAGGAATTAAAAATAAAAACAAATTCATGTGAGTTAAAACAATTTTGAGAGCTGGAAGCTCAGAAAAACATAAAAAATTTTAAAATGTTGGTAAATCTAACAAAAAGACCATTAACATACAACATTAAATCGATAAAGGAGCAGTTGATTAAACTAAATACCGACCGAAAACTAGGCAAGTCCCCACAGCTATAAGCTTATATGTGTATATATAGTCATACAGGTAGAGATATAGAGAGAAGGTGGCTTACATTTCCTCTTGCGGGCAGCTGGGAACGCACAAGCAGCGCAGCGACTTTTCTGGAGATGGAAACTGCGGCGGCCACACCTCACGCAGAGAGTGTGAGTCTTGTTCCTCCTCTTACCGAAACTCCCTGTTCCCTTTCCCTGCCATTTTCATAGACAAATCGTGCATCAATACCAGATCAATATACATACAAACAAAGAGAAATTTGGGCGTCGTGTTTTACCATTGAAGCAGATGCAAAGAGAAACCCTAAGAGGTGAGGGGGTAATTAAATACTGGATCAGGGGTGCCACGTCATCGTGC